TTTATTATTTTCCAGTTTTCATGACCACAGCGCTATTCACAGCTGGTGATGAAAACTAGAAAATATTAAAGGAACATTTGAATTTTCCTGTGTTCCTTTACTTGTTTCTCTGCGTATAGAACATTTTCGGAGCTACAAATTATTTTCAAAATCAGACAGCAAGCACATGTATCAATGGTCTTGTGGTTTATACAGAGAAAGTACATTCATTCAGATGTGCAGGCGATGGTATACGTTCACTTGACAAGTGAAGACAAAGTAACAAATACATTACAGCATATTATCATTTAATTCAAAATTTAAATTTGAACTTACCTGGCGAGAGCTGCATTCATCGAGTGGCCTGCACCTGTGTCATAGGACGACTAGTGCATTGTCCCAGTCGTTGATACTTAAACTTACATTATTTACCCAGATGTCTGCTTCATTTAACGGATTGTACACCATGTTAACTTTTAATTAACGCTTTTCATACCGTGTGATGCACAGTGTACAAACGGATCACCTGAAACATGCAAGATGCCGCATACCTACATGTCGATTGCATATATGTATATGTCTGGATCAGTTACTGACACGGTTCTCTGCACAATCCGCATTCCTTGCACAAATGTTGGTGCTCATTGTTCGAATAAATGAATAATCATCGTCAATAGAAGGATGACCTTGATGGGTTCAAACATTCAGAATGGTTTGTGAGGTTGTTGCATAACGCTATCGTCAAGACCTAAAATATTCAATTTCTGTTGCAGGTTTCCCTCAGTTTGTGTGTTGCATATTTAAAAGAACAGTCCAGCTGGTGCTACTATGTTAAAGTCGGGGAAAGACGCTCCAGTGATCATCATGCTGTTGGTTTTGACCAAACGTCCAAACGTAAAACTGGAGAAAAAAAAAAAGATTTTGCAAAGATATTCTATATTAATATACTATGAACTTTGAGAGGCATTTAGAACAGTTAAAACAGTTAGAACAGTTAGAAGTTGCGAGAAAGGAAAACAATAAGTGGATGAACCATTTCTTTGTTACAGTGGGAGCGACGTTTGTTATTACATCATCACTTGCTTGGTAACGGTGTTAGAGCCTACACACTGAAATATCAGCTCTAAATACACTTGTGCATGCCTCGCGTGGTCTACTGTATAGGGCATCAGAACAGTCACGTCACAGACTCCAGAGAATTCAAAACAGTGCAGCTAGATTAATCACTGCAACCGGACGCCGGGACCATATAACCCCAGTTCTATCTTTAAAGGTTACCTATTCATCAAAGGTTTATGCTCAACATCCTTGTCTCAGTGTTTCGGTCCCTGCATGATTTAACCCCACCCTACATTAGTGAGCTTATCTCCCATTACGCCGCCAGGTGGACTCTGCGAAAATGAATATCACGGATATTTGAGATACAACCCATAAAAGAAAAGTCCTATGATAACAGGTCGTTTTCGAAAGGTGAATCCATATGGTGGAACAATCTCCCAACAACATCCAGGACATCGACTGTATGCTTGAAGCCACACAATGAATGCTTTATGTTGAGATTTGTTAGGATGTATTTTTCAGGTACTTTACTTACACTTTTGTTTCGAAACTCTGTCTTTCCTTAAATTTTAAACATTTGACAGAATAGAAATGACAATAAAAATATTACTAAAAAGACATAACGTGATCATCTGTACATTTAATCAGAGACATTATGCAACAGAAGGGTACTTTCTGCCCAGTCGTTTAAGACCGAGTAATCCGGTGTGCAGAGATATTCTGGTACACCAGAAATTGTCACAGACAATGGCGACAGAGCAGATGTCCTGCCATCGGATCTTTGATGGAAGGAACGAACAACCCTTTTCCTCTGAAGTGCTGTTCACGAAGCGCTCTCCGCCACGCTTATGGTCTTCTCTCAGCATGTTCTTTGCTGCTTGGAACATCTGACGCGTCGTTCGGATCGAAATATCTTTGTGAAGGGCATCACGGTTGGGGAGCGGCTACAGGGATGGTTTTCCACGAGGCTGTACTAATCATACCCACAACGAATCTTTCATGATGTCATCGTGGACGTTGAGCTGACGTACGCCGTCAAGGTGCAAGGTTTTGAATTCCAAGCACTTCTATGGATCGCCATATTTTGTTTATTTCGCTATGGTATTCTGTTCTGAACTCCAAAGATGGATGAGAGTAGCAATGACATGGAGATGGACATCAGCCGTTTAAAGAGACAATTGAAGAATTGGTCTTCAGCAACCCATTGCTGTCGTGAAAGACGACTAACGGGATCGGTTGATTAGACTCGCTGATGTGGTTAACACATGCCATCGTATCCCAATTGCGTAGAACGATGTTTATGCTGTTGCTTCCTGGATTGTCTAATCCAGACTCGATTATTTACAGATCGCCGCAATATAGCTGGAATATTGTTTAAACAACAAACAAACTGGTGGCAGCTTTGTTTGCTCTACTAATTAACAGCCTTCCTCGTTCCAATCCAGCAATTCATGTCAAGGTTGGAAGCTACAAAATTAACATCACCAATCCTTTATTCCCTATGTATGTAACGTGTCAATATTTATAAACCAGCTGCCAGGAACGGTCACACTCTACTCTTATAATATCATCCTGTTGTTGCCTCTTCGCATTCACGTCGTGATATGAGCGAAATATTCTCAAGCACGACGTAAAACCCAATTTCACCTCACCTCACCTCTTCGCACTCATACGACGATTTCCTTTCGTTATTAATATAACAAATAAAAGTAACACTTCATATGTTCATATCGCCACGGTCTTGCTATTGTATGTGCCCTTATTACTTTGGCAATGAATTTGACACAATGGTGTGTTCTACTAATATACAAATATAACTACATACGTGTTCACGATTCTCTTATTACACGAGTAGCCAGCAACATGGCACCATTATCATCTGTAAAACAAAGGCTTCAAGAAAACTTTACATCTGGACGATGGAAGCTATTTTTAACGTTTGGGATCATGGCAGTATCAAACTTGTTTGCCTGGTGTTGCCTTTCTCTTTTACCACCGTTTTTCCCATTAGAGGTAAGACCACGTAAACGTAATTTGGATTTGTCATGTTTGTAATTTTATGATAAAAAAGGTTTTCATAGTTTGTTAGTTGATTTCTTTGGTAGGCTATTCATCTATGATCTAATTTCTATGATAGAACTTTAATGATTCTTCTACTATTCTTCTATGATCTAGTGTCATTTTTATAAAAACGTGTTCCAACCACATCACGTTTGAATTCAACACGAAATATGAAAAGCTCCTACGTCCCGAGAAAGATATATTGTTTTCATGCAGCTAATTGGATAACACAGGGTCACAATTGTTTCTGTGCACATACCTTTGTATATCTTGATATAGACTTGCACTGCACGTTCAACCGACGTCGATATACAACCATCAATACTGTCACGATGAATCCTCCACTCGTCAACCTGTAAGCTGAATTTCAGTTTCAATCTTTGACGCATTAGTGACAAAAACGATGTCCTGTGCAAATCCCTTCTTTGACATGTACCACACGTCCCATATTGTTTCAGATGATCTAGGTGATTAACTAGTCTCTGCATCTGTTTATGATGACTGCCACCGGTAAGGCAGGACACGCTCATCTTTTCCCGAACCCCAGACATCACAGTATTACCTATTTGATAGTGGTTCATAAACACAGGCTCGTGATAGTCGGAACTGTACAATAAATTATATAATACAGCACCGACTATGTTTTAGTGTATATTCTTGATGACAGGCAGAGAAAAAAGGAGCAAGCTGGACAATCATTGGACTGATAAGTTCCTGTTCTGAGCTGGTCATCTTCCTGGTGTCGCCGCTGCTCGGAAGTGTGGTAACATGTTTAATTTCTATATCATGTATAAAGTGTATGAGTGGGTGAGCCTTTTTAGACGCCGATTTCGGCAGTGTTGCAGTAATATCACAGCGTGGTATCTTGATGTGTTATGATGAATGATAGTGATGCAAGCCTGTGGTGTTTACCACTTTGGAGAAGCCACAAGCAAAGACATGGTGCTGATAAACCAAGTAACTATGACTATTAGGTTTCTGAGAAGCATTAGTGAGTGAGTGTTACGCCTCTTTTAGCAATATTCCAGCAATTTTTACAGCGGGGGACACAACCAGAAATTGGCTTCACACGTTATACCCATATGGGAAATCGAATCCGGGTCTTCGGCGTGACGAGCGAACGCTTTAACCACTGGGCTACCAAACCGCCCCTGAGACGCATTGATAAGAAATTTGTTCATATTATTAACTTTATTTTTGATAAAGTGACGCTTCGTGCTTAATTTCGTACCGACTTACCGTGAAAAACTCCTTTATTTAACAACGCGTTGTTTTACATAATATGATGAAACTGTCACAAGCGCGTCACACCATTCGCCGAAGAGGTTCTATGAGGTTAAACGTCGGTGAATACTGTTACACATGAAACTGATAGATATGTATGTATAGATGAAACAAACAGTGAGATTGAATAGGTTTTCTGCATAAGAAAAACAGTTATTCAGCGTTTATCACGTGTTGCTAGAACATAAGGCTGACTTGACTTCGATATGTTTTGCGTTTATGGAATTATACATGTAGAAACCGGTGAACACACTGTGTATATCCGCGTATCCGTGACCTACTAACCTTTAGCTTAAACACCCCTGATATCAATATGTGGATGAGTCTTGAAGCCCATTTCTGGTGTCCCCGCCGTGATATTGCTGGAATATTGCTAAAAGCGGCGTTAAACCATACCCACTCACTCACTCACAACTACTTCAGATGTCTGTGTCCTGTCCTCGATACTTCTAATAACCCTTACGTAAAATACTTTACATACATGTTTAACTATTATGTCTCACAACTACTTCAGATGTCTGCGTCTTGTCCTCGATACTTCTAATAACCCTTAGGTAAAATACTTTACATACATGTTTAACTATTATATCTCACAACTACTTCAGATGTCTGTGTCCTGTCCTCGATACTTCTAATAACCCTTACGTAAAATACTTTACATACATGTTTAACTATTATATCTCACAACTACTTCAGATGTCTGTGTCCTGTCCTCGATACTTCTAATAACCCTTACGTAAAATACTTTACATACATGTTTAACTATTATATCTCACAACTACTTCAGATGTCTGTGTCCTGTCCTCGATACTTCTAATAACCCTTACGTAAAATACTTTACATACATGTTTAACCATTATATCTCACAACTACTTCAGATGTCTGTGTCCTGTCCTCGATACTTCTACGTCTCTGGACTGTGGATAGTCGGCATCAGCATCACGGTGTTTGGGTAGGAGCATTTCGTGTGTTTTACAGCCAAAACATACACGTCAGATATTATTTTATGCTGCAGCGGTGTTTTCATACTTTTAAGACTGAATATTTCAAGAAACTACCATTTCTATATCCAGTGGACTCCATGTACGATTCCGACTGTATCAGAAGCATCTGTTTATGAATAAAGATCCAGTAGTGATGAAACGATGCCCTCCATGTAACGCCTTTTGATGCATTAAATGTTGCAACCCTCCGTTGAATGTTGAATTGTGAACATGGGTCGTATTACGATCTTTGAAAGTTTTGGTTTTGTCTCTGTATCTTGATGAATGACCTTTTTCCGGACATTGTAAACGAATATGTTTTAATAATTAACAATTCACTCCCTTTAAAAGTCTATTCACTCTAATTGTGAAGGTTCTGAAATAGAAAACGAAGTGAGATCAGATTAACTCTAGATGTTTTACCCATCAACAATTCGTCAATAGGTGGGAATCTAGGTTCAGTCAAGCTTCAAACTTCAAGTACCCGTGAAGATCCGGGTTAGAATACTGATCTTCAGTACCCCATGCTTGTCATAAGAGGCGACTAACGGGATCGGGTGGTCGGGCTCACTGACTTGGTTGACACATGTCATCGGTTCCCAATTGCGCAGATCGATGCTCATGCCATTGATCACTGGATTGTCTGGTCCAGACTCGATTATTTACAGACCGCCGCAATATAGCTGGAATATTGCTGAGTGCAGCGTAAAACTAAACTCACTCACTACAAACTTCAAGCCAATTGAGTACTGCACGATTGATAGAATTAACAATCAGTATAAACCAGAAACTTTCGTCGATATTAAGATTGCAAAATTTTGTAATTTTTGCTGTTTAGTTTAGTTAGATCATTTTCTTCTGAAGAGTTTGCATGGTTCTGTTGCTATATAGTGACCAATTATTTTAGGTGGATAAACCATGCGCCAGCAGGAACCCCGTTCATTGCTATCTGTTTCGCAGTGAGGGTTGTTGAAGCATTGGGTACAGCGTCTCTTCTCACAGCCAGCTTCGCCATAGCCACCATCAACTTCCCCGACAATGTGGGGACGGCCTATGTACGTACATCTATGAAAGTCGATAAAGTATAAGTTTGAGGTGCGTGTAGTGTATTGTGGTTAATGATCTTTGATAACGCATCACTTTTGTCCATACTCAGGGTATCCTGGAGACAGTGACTGGATGTGGATTCATGCTTGGTCCAGCAATGGGAGGGGGACTCTATGAGGCAAGAACTTAACTTAAAAAGAAGAATGAATAATTTGCTTATTTCACAACTAAACAAACCGTGATATTTTGTAAGATGTTCACCGTGTATGTTTTGCTACGTGTCCATTTTCAAATTGAAACAATAGTGAGAGAGTAAGTTTTGTTTTACGCCACTTTTAGCAATATTCTAGCAAATTCACGGCGCGGGACAGCAGAAATGGGCTTCACACATTGTACCCATGTGGGGAATCGAACCCGTGTCTTTGGTGTGACCACTAGGCTACCCCACCGCCCCATTGAAACAATAAGTCAACCTAGAAATCTTAACAAACATGAACCCAGTGTAAAATAAACAATGCAATAAAGATGTTTTATAATTAACAAAATTATTACACAATTACATAGATTTACAAATTAATGGCAGCTTACAATAGAGAACAATTACAATAGAAGTATGAAACACAAAAATAGTTAGTTATTGCAATTAAAAACGTGGTGACAATACGCAGCTTGCAGCAACAATGGTCAAGGATCCCAAACATGCCTACGTTTGATAATCAGGATGAACATATTATCTTCATACAATCGCATGTCTTGATTTAACGTGAGATAATAGAAGCATTCATGTGCCCCCTAACATACATTGTAGTCTCATAACATCATGAAATGTCTATACCATGTTGGATAGGTCATTGCTGTTCTTGAAGCATCCATGTTACTCGTGACCCCAAAGAATCTAAATTATTAACTTCCAAGTAATTGTCCTCTACTGAATCTCAACAGAACAATATATTAGAATTACCAAATTCTTTTACAATACATTTCACTAATACATAACAATACATATGCTTTATTGCAGTGTGTACCTGTGTATGTATCTTTGCGAAAGTGCATAGTCATTAATTCTACAAAATGATATTTGCCTTTTGTTTATTCATGCGCCCTTACTTCTCATTAGGCAATTATTTATTATTTTTACTTGTTAAGCATTTAATGTGTTAAAATGGAACAGTAGTATTTGTATTTGCTTTTGGTATGCTATCATTCACATTCCATGACGAAGCATGGTCTTGTTGGAGTTAGACGACAGAGTAAAACTCCAGTTGTGAATGCTTTTCCTGTTGGCCAACCAAGACATGCCTACATCACGTTGTGATGATTTAATTACAAAGGTTTACTTGATATTGTTACTGGTGTGTCTGGTCCAGTGTCAGATATGTACAGAATGTCTCAATACACTGGACAAGTCTTGATACTATTATGCCATGCATTGTCAATAAGCACCCTGATACAACGATTGTGTAAAACCGTTTTCTCTGATTTTCAGTGATCCATGCATATCATCTTCACAGCCATTTGCAAATACTTTTGCTTTTTCTGTCGTTGTGAAATCAAGACTTTATCCCCTTATATGTCTGACAGTATATGTTTTAGCTTGGAGGATACAGCCTTCCGTTTTGGGTTCTTGGTGGATGCGTCCTAGCCTGTGGAATTCTTTCATTGGCTATCGTTCCATCCCAAACGCGTGAGTTTTAAGAATGCACTTATCCTTTAATGGTAACTTATATCAAAGCATAACTTGTTGAACTTATGTGTTTCGGTTTAACTGTGTATATCAAATATATTGAGGCCATTGAAGATCGTGAGTGAGTGAGTTAAAATTTAAAGTCATTTTGGCAATATTTCAGCCATATCGTGACTAAAACAACATATATATTAACAATAATTAAAGATAGATTATAAAATCCTGTCAACGAAGGACAGTAAAACAACTAGAATATCACAGATATAAATGTAAAAATAATAATTAAATCTAAAACAGTTTAAATATAGAAATAGGCTATAGATCACCAGCAACTGAAGGAAGTTCACCATACTAGGGACCATGGGGACTTACAGTACCTTTGCTACCTGCATGGACCCTAGTTGGATTTACACAATCCCTTCAGCCGCTGGCGATTGTAGGAAAATTTAGCCGGAAGTTAAAAGAACAAATATACAACGATTAAAATGTGGTAAATTAACATTTTACTTTGAAAGTTTTGGGGCTTACGTACCGTCTCAGGAGGACAATAATTTTACAGTACTTTAACACCCTTTGAGGGTACAGCCACTAACAATCTAAGTTACTCATCTAAACTACCAATAATAAAATACATATCTATTTACAAACTATTCATCAAAATTTATCTTGCAACTGTATTTCTTTTAAAAATTCAATGATTAAATTATAATTAACACTAAAAAGATCCTTCACTATTTTGACATTAATTGATGGCAATCACTGCAGATCGAGAAAGTAAAACAAGGTGACACATGCACATTATATACATGAATAACGATTTACGGAACATGTCATACTCAGGTGAAGTGACAGAGGAAGACAAAGGTAAACGCCAATCCAGCGTGACGTTACTCCGAAGTCCTCTGGTATGGTTTGGTGCTTTTGGTATTGAAAGTGCTCTCATCTGTTTCACACTTTGGAACCCTGTTTTTGCTGATTATCTAACCCAGGTTCGTACATGTAGAAGTCCCAACACACCTTCACTATAATTGAAACGCTGTTATATAATTGAATACTTTTAATATATTTAAGTTCAACCTAGTTACAGACCACATCGTGAAATGCTTGGGGATTTTTGTATCCTTGTATCTATCATGTGAGACGTATGGTTAGATACCTGATCTACTTACATGTATATGTGTGTGCTGTCTGGTGTATTTCACTGAGGAAAAATAAGCATGCCAATACATTCGATTGTGAACCACCGCTATGTAATCCCCATACCAATGTCCATATCCAAAGTTATAACCCGTGTTTGTGTAGGCTTCACACACATATTTCACACTCACAAAGAGAAACCCATGACCACGTTAAACCTAACTCAGTAACCCTTCAAGTCTTCATGAAAACCGTCTTGTCTGCTTGTGTTTAATATGCGCACTTCCATGTCCACAAATGTTCACATTTCTTCAGTAATGTTTCACTTTTCAGTTCAATCTCAGCCAAGGTGTCATCGCCCTAGTTTTTATCATAGGACCAGGAATCTATTCGTTCACAACGCCTTTCTGGGGATTGCTGATTGACAAAAAAGTAATTTTGATCTATATCTCCGAGATTAAAGCTAAAACAAAACTTTATTAAACCTAGTAAAGTCGGGGCGTATTCCTGTTGCCTAAATATGTCACATATGTTCTATCTCAGGGATAATGTCTTGTATGTTGTCATTCTCTTTATAATAAGACAACGTCTTTACTAAGTTATGGCACGATCACATTTGTTTTTGCCGATTTTGATATTCTAAGGTGTTTTTTCTCAGAGAGCGTTGCTTTTTTCAGCAGGTACCTGTAACTCCTTTGATTATGGCGGGTCTGACATGTAGCGGAATTTCATTGCTGTTCTTTGGCCCTGCACCTTTCATTCCAGCTGTTACTCCGTAAGAACAATCACAGACTGACAAGTAATTTAGAAACCTCCCAACTCCTGGTAACATTCATTGCGTTGTGTAAATTCATCTATGGAGAAGATATACCACCTTTCAAAAGCTTTAAATAAAGTTTAGATATATATGCATATATGATATTTCAACTTGAGACTTGTTAGAAATGCTTATTTTGTAAAATGACCCAACTGTTTCAGATCCTTCTGGCTGACCATCACAACACAGGCTTCCCTGGCTGTCTCATTGGGACCAGTTATCGTTAGTTCTATGAAGTGCATCGTTATTGGTACAAGGTGAGCTTTGAAAAACCCAGTGCGCAAATCCTTTGCACAAATTATATATAAACTGCCATGTGATTTGTAATAAAAATATCATGAAATCAACTCAGGTCCAATCCAAATATTCGTCTCCCAGGTTCCCCTTTACAAAGGTGACATGATCGAAGAAAGCATTATCATTAATATTACTTGGATAACAAGTCTCTCCAAAGACTGTCAGAAAAGTCACATTATTTAAGAAATACAGTTCGCCCTACCACCATATGTAATAAAGTACAGTTTTGCCATGAACTATAATTGTTAAAACACGAGGAAGCTTGGTTTTCCTTATTCCATCACACATGGGGGTATTGAGAACTGTTTCTTTTCAAATATGCTAAATTTAATACATTCGGACGATTAATCTAAGGAACACAAGGTCGGTGACCTAAATTAACAATCCTCTTCCATGGCTTACTGACGTGCTGGAACAATGCAATATCACAAATGATAAAGATTTCAGGGCGGTTTACCTTTCAGTTCAAAATATTTTCTCTTTATTTTTTTTTGCAATTACATGGTCTGGTTGGCTAATATTGCCGTGTCGATGTTTAATTGTGAGTCAAGCCGAGTCATTTTCCCTCGACAAATTTAACCATAATGTTTCCACCAGTGAGTGAGTTAGGATTTCAAGTCACTTCGGCAATATTTCAGCCATATCGTGACTAAACACAAGTTATAATTTCATAATAAATAAAGGTAAGTTATAAAACCCTGTCAACGGAGGACAGTAAAATAACTAGTTTATCACAGATTTCAATTTAAAACTAGTAATGAACTCTAAAACATTTTAACTAATATATGACTACACAATATAAAAACAGGCTATAGATTGCCAACAGCTGGAGATAGATCACCATACTGGGGACCATAGGGTCCACCAGTGATGTTTGTCGACTGACGCAACTAGACACGTGGTGCTAACCGAGTTGGTTAGATTTTGGTAGACGTGGGTAAGCAAGATTTATTTAATTACGAGGGGTTTCTGCTAGAATATCGTAGGGACGTCAATTCAGTGTGACGTAAAGTAAAAAGTGTATTGTATCGCCTGTCGTTGCCTTTGGTCTCTTATCGAAGCATTTTACAACAGACTATGGTGTACGGGAAATGTTGAATAAAACATTGAAGATGATATATTTAGGCCAAATCACATCTTACACGCCAGCTCTATTGATTGTCGCGCGTGTTTGTGTCCCCAAATCACCAATCTTACGAATGTAAGTTTAACATGCTAAGTGAGGTTTTTTTGCAAGCGCATAGGTGTTCAAGTGAACGAAGCGTTAACGTGTATTCCTGATCTTCCAGTGAGTAAAATAGTTTCTAACCTTGACCTTTACGCTTCCAGTGTGTAGAGAGCTAGCTTGGCCTTTAGGTTTTCGTCTCGATTAGCAACTATTGCCTGCAACCAACATAGTGTGTGCGTCGCTCAAGATGCACGTGTGCCACATCAAATGAGGGCAGTCAGCCTGTGAGACATTGATACATGCCTTTCTTTTTTTCAGGGAGCTGGGCTTTGAAGATGACCGAAAAAGTGCCAGTCTTATCTCGGGTATTGTGTGTTCTGCCACCAGTTTAGGGTGAGTGACATCCAGTTCAATCTTCAGTACTTTGATGATATTGATTTGTTAAACAGTTCTGTAGACCATGTACACACGCCGCTTCAGTCAGCTAAATGTGCATGCAACAGAGCGTGGAGTCCTCCCACAGATGCTATCCTTACCTTGCTGACGGGGTTTAGCTATTTGGCCATGTGGACAAGATGTCCGACTTCGGATCAGAAGGTCAATGGTTCGAATCTCAGTAAGGGACTCGGAAATGGTATGGCGCCCAAGGTGAAAATCTTTATATAATTTGAACAAAATAAGCCTTTGCGGCCCAGGACGTAGCGTTTGTTGACAGGGAGAGTATGTATCAGGGCGTTGAGTCATCCTTACCATGTCAGCTTGCTGACGGGGTTAACCTCGGAAATGTTATGGCAGCTACATGCATTTCAAATTGTTATTGTTCAGCATGCTTACTCAAATGCCTCGCTTTTCAACCAGCTCTTGTCTAGAAAAGAACACGAAACGTATTGTAAATAATGTTGCATTCTGTTCGCTCTGTGTTAGATTATCAGATGTGTTTCAGGACATTTTGTGGTCCCGTGCTTGGTGGAGTGCTGACGGAATATTTTGGATACAAATATGCAATGGCACTAGGCACAATCTGGATCATGGCGCCCGTGAGGATATATATTTTTGCTGCTATTTTTAACGTGTGCATGTCTGCATTTTCTCTGCATTTTTTTCATAAATAATTAATTCAATCCCATTGGGGATTTCTCGGGTTTCTCCTTGCACGGTTAATGTTGATTTTGTTGCAATGTGTTACCTTATTTTTAACGCGTCCTTGCGCTATAGATCGCTGCACATGACAACAATCACTAGTTTGCTTATATGAAATTTGACTGTTTTAATTTAATAGGGAAATGGCTGGAGTACTGCCTGAAACATTCATTCACTTTCAAATTCTTGTTTATTTCCAGGATATATTTACTGATTAACTTATGCAATGCATATTGCTTTGTAAATTCGTTCGCTTAGATCAGTAATGTTTTCTCCGCATGATAGGATAGGCTTAAGGCAGACATCGCTAGAATAAATAGAATACAATTTCTTCCATGTTTTCCTGATTTGCAGCAGCGAGAGCCTTCACTCAACTATGTGTTGCTGTCTTATTGCAGATGGTTTGCTTTACTCCATATCTATGTCTCAGAGAATGGCAACGCCGGTCAGATACAAAGAACAAGCTTAAGGACATATGCCAACAAACAGACCAAGAGACAGATGCCCAACCTCCCATGGAACTGGCTACAGTACGAAACCCACTTCTAACCGTCTGGACAGAGTAGCTCAACTGTCAGTTAAATCTTATCTAAGTTCCTTGCCTGTGTCTTTGTGTATGTCTATGTGTTCTAATGTTATGTCATTAATTCGTAATGAAACATGGTTTATTTATGCGAAAAACCTATTTTGCTCTTTTGCGGGTGTTGCACACCCTTATGTTTATTTATATGTCGATCTTACATAAAACGTGTAACAGTACTGATCATGAGATAATCAGTTGGTATTTTATGAGCTGTTGGGCACTGTTCAGATATGTTTATTTTCAAAGTTTGTGTTTCACTCTGCTTGTATATTGGTCACAGCTCGTCTTATATACCTATACTCAAAGGCAAAAGTTATTGTAAAACGCCAACAACAAACAGAATCAGTGTAAAACATTTACTGCTTTGGAGAAAATGTCATGATTACATGGAAAGACATGGTGTTTCAATGCATGCTAACGGTCACCAATCCATAAGAACGGTGCACCTAGCACATGAAAATAAACTAAAACACAAGAGTGAGTTAACAAGTCTTGTGCACTGATGCTGGTCTGGCACCTTCGTCTCAGTGAGACGACTGAGCGAAATTAAAGGTCATAGATATGTCCGTGTCCGACCAAGGATAGGACGGAGTTCCTGCAACGGTGTTGAAGGATTCCGATGATGTCGAAAACGTCGTCCATTTCATCCCAGAAGAGTTCGATGAGTGACACGTTTCCTGAAGACAGCTCGATGAAGAAGGAAACGTGACTTATCTGCGAAGAGAACTCTTCTCAACGAGTTTTGTCTGCTCCATTGGAGACGTCGGCGTCACCGTCGATTTTCTTGCGTCCAAATTACACGTCAACTGTTGCTGGATGGAAGGTTTGCTAGTTGGAAGGTGTGTAATGCTATGGTGCGTAGTTCAAATCAATCGGTCTAACGTAAGTGCCGAATGGTGTTTCCATGGACGTTGATCCATGAATCGGTGAACAAGATGCGAGCTACCATAGTGAAGCATACCCTTAGCGTTCCATCAGCTGACCGGATGACCCTGAGAAAAGTAGCGCAGTTTCATTCTGATGGTAAGAAAGTCGGACTCTCCATTGCCGGCGCAGTTTTTCGGTATGGTTCATGGGGTAGCTCCTTGTCAGACACATTGGGACTTCCAGGTCTGGGGCGATCCTTAACTTAGACCACGTGCTTCCTCATAAGTTGACAAATAATGGACAAGTTAGCATGCATGACATCCATGTGTCATACATGTCATGCATGCCAATAACTTGCCATTATGTATTTTCTGAAACTCTACGGCTTGCTGCATTAAAAGCGCGTAATTTTTAGATCGTATTTTAGATCATCGTCTTTCAGACAACTATCATGGGTATGCTGCAACTGTGAAAGTTATACGCCTATGTGCTTAGCGCTTGTCATTGTTCAGATAGAACTGAACTCTTCTGTGATAGGGACGGTGAGGTAACCTAGTGGTTTAAAGCGTTCGCTCGTCATGCCGAACACCCAGGTTCGATTCCCTAAATGGGTACAATGGATGAACGCCCAATTTCTGGTATCAGGCATAGTGATATTGCTGGAATATTGCTAAAACCGGTGTAAAATTAAATTCACTCACCCACGTCTGTGATATCATTCACTGTCATTATAGGGAAGGTAAAATTACCGAAAAGTTCGAAAATTAACATTTACCAGACTGAAACGTTGGAGATGACCATGCAGATGCTAAGAATGTTTTGGAAACTACGGAAACACGAATGTTTCTTATTACTTACAGGCTGAATCCATGTACACACTATCTCTGTATCAATGAGAGTGTGCGTAAAATCCCATGTACCCAGGTCAGTAGCAGTTGGTCTCTGGTAGTGGTGTTACACCTCAACGATATTCTTGTACACATTTGGTATTTTCCTTTATCTGAAGGGTTGTGAATGAAAGGACGAACGATCAATCTATCCTGCTGCATACAGTTTCAGTGATAATACATTGATTGAGACTGATCGATTGACTGATCGAAATTAGCAGCAATTAGGTCATATTTTAAGGGGGGAAACTCCTGGTGGTAAAAGCGTCCACTTGTCAAGCCGAAGACTAGGTTCGATTCCCCACAAGGATACAATGTGTGAATCCCGTCACTCACTCACTCACTCACTCACTCACTCGGATACTGGTTGAATTGGATGTATAATGTAACGTATAATACAACATGAAGGAACATGGATAATCACCATGTTTGTTTATTTCGAGGAAACGTTTTGCACACACTTTGCCCAGTCAAACCAAACTAAACTTGAAACAAAATTAATTCTTAGCTATAAACGTTTCTAATCCAGTTAGGTTCCACAATCGTTAATGAGTAATGGACATACTGATGTTTACAATTAGCAAGGCCTGATGATGTAGGTCTCCTGTGCTTTCATTGACGTCGCACAGTTCTGATAGATCTTGTTGTATGTAAATCCAAGGCATCCTTTTGTTGGCTGCAGGCGACTGCACACGCCCTTTTAGATACAACATGAGGCGCTCTTGGCGATTCTACCAAAGGTGACGATCGTTTCATCTTGGTGAAGCAGGTAAACCTACCTGAAAACACAAACCGATATTTTTACAAGCCACATACTAAGACAATACAACATTCTTTCGATGCGGATTTTCTCGCCCTTTAACGCTAGAGTTACAAATATCTCAGCTATTTCGCAACGGTTAATAGGTCAATAGGAACAGACAAAGCTAACGAGATTGACGTTAACGCGGGATTGAAAGCGAATGCGATACGTTCGACATAACCCTGGGGGTACACGCGGTCGGGGTATTGTGGACGTTATTTGACGTTAAGGTGACAGAAATGTTGATATATTACCTGGACCATGTGTAAGTCCTACGTGCTTACTTGAACCACGGTGTAGCTTCTTGTTGAACTCCACCAGTTTCAGTGTAAACCCAACATCATCAGTTCTCCTACAGAGAAAGAAATGAATGGCACACGCTTGTGGCTTGCTACTGTGGCTGTAGGCGATGCAGTTGGCCAGCCCTGAACAAAGGGATCGACAGGATTTCTCCAACACTTTACCCGGTATCATGAAAAGACACTTCATACTGCCGGACACTGGTTCGGCATATGTGACTTCGCCTGCCAAACAACAACAACAAAGCCAACTTATGAGTTTTAATGAATGAGTGAGTTTAGTTTTAAGCCGCTTTTAGCAATATTCCTGCAATATTGCGGCCAGGGGCACCATAAATGGGCAGCACACATTGTACACATGTTGGGAATCGAGCCTGTGTCTTCGGCATGACGAGCGAACGTTTTAACCACTAGGCTACCCAACCAAGTAACTTACAGAGATAATATTTGCATTACTTCATCAATGGACATTCAATCTCAATTCAATATTTCATGAAATAAAGTTACGTCGCTTTGAGCAATATTCCAGCAATATCACGGCTGGAGACGCCAGAAATGGGCTTCGCACATGTGGGGAATCGAACAAGGTTTTCAGCATGACGAGCGGACGCTTTAACCATTTGGTTACCCCGCCGTTCCGCCTATTGGAATGGCATTGTGACAATGAATGATAGGGCACGTCAATATGTAAACATTTTCATATCTACCCTTTCACAGGAGAATCACGTGCTGTATTACACCATTCACCTAAACGTGTATGGGATTTGAGGGATCTGAAATAAGAACAAAAAGCAATAACTGCATTAGACTCGTACCTTTGTTGTGGAAATCCTCTTGTGATACAAACTGCACTGCGGAGAAATGATTATGGATAACTTTACCCTTGCCTCCTTTTGGCACCAGCAGGACTGATCGTTGGTGTCAAAGTCCACCAATGAACACTTATTTTTGCTTTGTAGCCACATACATACAGATATATCGCTAACACCATTTTCTCTATCTGCTCCTTCCACGTTCCGAAACAGCCTGATCACCGACGGGCGACGACCTGTGACGGCAAATGATGTACACATCAAACACGGCTGAGATAGGTCTCGCCAAACACTTACTTAAATTATTATGTCATCCCGTCATGTAAGCTTGGTGCGAAAACAATAACACCTTCCTGTTATAAATAGTATCAATATTACAATAAAGTACAGATGTTCTTAGTTACATTGGCTGCCCTCCCATAGTGATGTCTAAAACAATGTCTCGATTGACGTGTCTTTCACTTTTACATATTTCATTTACTGCAAATGATTAAAGTATTAATCTATGGTAGGATGAGCTAAAGTACAAAGGATTAATACCGAATTCCGATGGAACTAAACAACTGACAGCGATTGCGGGGGCGTGTACTAACATATCGGTAAGCAGTTATTAAGATGCTACCTTTACAGTTTGGGTCTTTAAGGATGATCTTAGTTCCTTTTCCCTTTTTGTGTTTGCTGTTAATTGTGCAGATGTTGTCTCTCCACGCTGCTGTTTCACATGTGGTTACTGCTCTGCACAGTTCCTGACACTCGGACAAGGGGATAGTGCCAGATATTCTCTCTCCGCCTTCCATCGTCCCTTCTGTTACAGACATGCAGTGTGATTCTGCAAAATAAGCTTACAAGGGTACAAGTTTGCTTCGTGGTAATTTGTATATCATTTCCACACGTTACAAATCATATTTGTCCCATCAGCATATTATTGCTGTGCATCAATATTTTAACTGATATACACTGTACCAAGAGATTCAGTATAGAGCAGATATGTGTTATATTTAGACTTGTACTAGATTACACATAATGATCTGGAAAGTGATACAAGGAGCCACCTGCCTTGAGAGTATTGTGGAATTTAACAGTAATAATTATGTTTAGTAGAGTTGTCCAGGGACTCGTGGACAACATGCAGTGGTGTTCTCACAGCCATAGTAATTCAGTTCCAAATATTATGTTGTAAGACGATGCCATTCGTATGACCTTCGTTTGGACCGCAATGGAATCAATTGGTGATTACCCCAGTTTACGCTCGAAACACGTCTGGCTAATGTGTCCAGTTATTAGCGGTGGTACACTACTTGGTCTCAGAACATACCGATTACAATAAACCGTAAAGACTGTTTCTTTCGCTATCGATCCATGACATGCGTTTTTGGACCTAGGCCTCTATGTGCTGAATCGATCTTTAGCAGTTTGTGCCTCCAGAAGTCGGATCCAAAGACTTCCATATTGAACACATTGGCCACCTCGTTGTTAGTTCTACCGGTTTGAAGCTTGCCAAAAGCGATTAGGTGTTCATCAGATCAGGATACGCATTTCCCAGTTTGCTACTTTGAAGCAAGAGTAGAGAGCTTGCGTGTTATTACTGATAAAGACAAACACTACACTGCAGATGTGTGTGTGTGTGTGCGTGTGCGTGTGCGTGTGCGTGTGTGCACCGACTGCAAAAGTCACGCCATGGCTATACTCAATACCTGTTACTTTCTCGCAAAGTGCGAAGGTGAATACGACGACCGGTGCCTCTTGTGTAGCGACCCTTTGGTTTTGAGAGCACATTCTCTTCCTGGCATCCCAATAGACATCAGGTTTTGAAGCTTGTGTAAAAGCGTAGGTTATACACTCCAGCGCGCTAACGTTCTTCAGGTCAGAACCTGTGCTTTTGTTTTCTACTTGCATTGACACGCACTGAGAGGCTGAAACAGGCAACAAAATAGGCAGTGCGTGAGTACAGAATACAAACAAACAAACAAAATTCATTGAAATATATGGGGGAAACTGATATCTCGGTTTTATCAAGAGCCATTATTCAAGAGATATGCTTGTGACATAAACCATGCTTATATATAGTGACTGAAGCGCTATTAAAATGAAGGCGCTATCGTTAGAGAGGTTCCAGGAAGGAACATTGAGAAGAATGCTGGTGGTTACTCTATATAATTAAGGGCGTTAGGTTAAATATTTAATATTTTAGTACCTACTTCAATATATATGAGTAATTCTCAAAATTCGTGTATATTTATGCTTTATGTTTATGACAAAATTAAGTCAAAATCAATACTTTGTTATGGAACTAATTTATCTCAGTTTTTCCTACACTTTACAGTCACAAAATTGTGAAAGAATATTTTTATGTTTATTTTAAACACTCAAACCCACCAAATTTTACTCAATTTTCATGTGTCACAACTCCAGTGGCCGATGTTTAATTTGATTTTTGGGTCTTTTTCAAAGACATTTTTAACAAATCATAATTAAAGATGTTACAACTGCATGCCTGGCATGGTTTGGCCTTTTTGTATGGAAAAACATTTTGCTAAAAAAAGGTCAAACTTTGTCACAAGGTTTGATGTCACTATCGTAACATCATTCAAAAAATTGCAATAATGATTACTCCCTGTACTGTCTTCTGATTCTAATCATGTATGCAAGCAATGGCAGTGAGGAAACGACAGGCAAACACTGACACAAAACAATCATTTATCTGAATGCTATCGCAAAAAGGTGTGTACAAAATGATATCTGAGATTTGTGCATGTCCGAACCGTTAAGGTGGCTACCGCTGAAACCAATTAATTTTGTAAAGCCAAACAACGCCAAGTACCTTAGACAGTACGCGAAATCATTTGAAACCATGTGCTCAGTATACTTTGGGGACCAGTTATTGTTTTAAAACTGATATTGTTAGTGGCTGTCACTACCGTTACGGTCAATGTCGTTATCATGTGTTTTGTTGCGGTAAAGACAGATTTTGTGACGGCAGTTTAGTTTATTTTTCTAGTTTAGTGTTGTTTGTATCTAAAGTGACTATTCAAAGATGTCAAATGTTTTGGAATCTTATTTAACATAAACAATTTATATCAAATGAATAAGTATCATTTTTTGAAAGATTTCCGCCCGTAACCCCCGTTTTATTTTATCATTCTATACCTAAGAACAAATGTTTTTCTGTCAAAGAATCTTAACACTAAACCTTACCCTGACCCAAAATCACACCTAACCCTAACCCTAACCCTAACCCTAACATCTTAAGCCTAATCCTAAAACCTCGAAATAATCCTAATAAATAGAACTCACTTGAAGCGGGGGTTGCGGGTGGAACTCTTACCCGTTAGGGTAGTGATATTATATACCATCACAATGTCACTGCCGCAACATGCAGTCTTTACCTGTTCTTACATGCCAGGGACATCGATAAGTAAATCTTTTGCCTATTACATATTCTTCTAACATTCTGAAATATCTGACTGACAAATTTCATTAGATTATCTTTTAAAGTAAACATATCAAACTGGCTATTATAAAAAAATGTCACTACCGTGGTTGTGTCACTACCATAACAATTAATTCCAATGTTCATGCCATAACAATATCATTTCCCTTATTCAATTAAAATTGATTTATCTGTTTATCTATGGAATTAAATGCTCTGGGTACATTTGTGCAGATATTAGTAATATAATGTCCCTTGTCAAATAAGATGTTCCAAACCTAACAATTGCACAATATTTCATATTGCTTTGAATTCGATATATCACAAATACCAGTCCGTACACTTCCAAGCCGGTCAAAGGAGGGTACAAATTGCCAATGGAAACTCGTATATATCAATCGCATATCTGTTTAAAACAATAGATAGATACATGCACTACTGTTAACTGTGAAAGTCATCTTTTATTGCTTGATGCTGACTGCAATTGACACAATTGGTAAAATGTATATGAATATCCATATATACATGCAAGCACATAACACGGCGTGAGTAATATAAACTTAAAATATACATACGTGTATCTATTTCTATCTGTTTCTCCTCGCTCTCCTGGGAGTTTATGTGTTTTAATCTACATACAATTATTCTTGTAAAGCTCGGAGAAGCTGGGGAAAGCATCGGCCAATGTACTTTCATCATCTAATTCAGTAATCACTGACCTGGACGCAACGTTGAAACGAAAACATTACTAATTTCAGAATGATAATGAATAAAAACGCCTGTGGCATCGAAATAATTCACTAAGTACTTACTTGTATTTCTTGGATACAGAATAAGTAGGAACAAAAACCACATTCTGAGACACCGTGATGAAGTGAAAGCTTCTTTCCTCTGTTGTATCACTTTAGTTGAAAAGGCCGTTAAAACAAGAAGTCATACACAGCTGAAAGTATTTCATACGTGAATCACGACATGATGTAGCTCACCTGACACACGACATTGGACCATGTCACAATATTCCAAGAATCTGGCCCATCGTACTTTGTAATTCAGATTTAACATTGGTCTCTCATAATTGCCTAAGGCGGTGGGGTAGCCTTGTGGTTAAAGCGTCTGCGTTCTAAGACCCGGGTTCGATTCCCGGACTGGGTACAATGTGTGAAGCTCATTTCTGTTA